TCTATAATTCCCAGCATAATTGACAGCAAACTAAGTGCCACTGGAGTAGAACCATCTGCAGCCACCTACTCGCGATACGCACCGGACTCCTATCGGCAAAACTCCCTCATAGGGACACGCTGTGCCGTTTCAATGGCGACTTTCAATGTTCGCACTCTAAGACAAACAGGTCAACAGGCTGCACTCGCACGCACCTTGGACACACTGGGTATTGATGTGTATTATGTGTCCGAAATTAGGATCAATGTCCCCAACGAGGTTGTTGAATTAACTGCACCCGGCTTATTCTCTCGTTATTGGTTGCACGCATCCGAAGACGTCGATGCAGCACTCACGGGTCAAGCTGGTGTAGGTATCATTCTAAGCTCAATGACTGATCCATCGTTGGTTGATTGGATTCCGGTGAACAACCATTTATGTGCAGCCCGTTTGACGACATCAGCTAAGGTTGATTCACGAAGTAGTACAAAACGCTGTTTGTTCTTGATTTCCGCTTATGCTCCCACCGACTGCAGTTCAAATGCTGTCAAGGACACATTCTATCACGAACTGAACGCGCTATTACGCTGTGCTACCAGTTCAGCTATCATAGTATTTGCAGGGGATATGAACGCACAAGTAGGGCGTCTGAGCTCTTCAGAAGCTCATCTGGGTGGTAATTATGGGCTTAACTCCGAACGGACTGACAACGGTGAGCGTCTGCTACAACTGTGTGCGGAGTACCAGTTGTTTCTTCGTAGCACTGCTTTTAGACTCAGTGAGCGCCGAAGTGCCACTTGGCGTGCTCCTGTAGCTAGCCAACGATGGACCCAGGTTGACCACATAGCCATAAGTTACAGATGGTGTAGTTCCATCCTGGATTGCTGCTCGTACTGGGGTACCTGTGTCGACTCTGATCATGCCTTGGTACGTTGTCGTTTCTCCATGAACTTTACCGGGAGGCTCTCAAGGCATCTCCTCCGATTCACAACTGAGAAATTGTTTCAGTCCTCGGTCAGGCAAGCCTATCAAGACGCGCCGCGTACCGAACTTTCGCTGTCTTGTTTTAATCACACAGAGCTTCAGTGGAATAGGATCTCGGCCGCCATGCACGACGCAGGAGCATCTGCTTGTGGCACTATCAATCGTCACTGCACCAGTCACTGGATATCCGAGAGGTCGGTGAACCTGTTGGAATCTAGAAGATACCTCCCGGCTGGCTGTGAGCACCATGTGACCAGACGGGCTATTAGACGCCAACTGAAGCGGAGCTTCCGTTCTGAAAAAGAAGCCTGGTGGACCAGTAGGGCTCAACAAATAGAGGAAGCATGAGCAATAGGCAATTACCGCAAGCTCTTCCAGCTAATCCGCACCACTGGCCTCAGTGAGACAATCAGGGACAGCGCGGGTGCGCTGATACACAATAAGGAGCGCCGTGTGGCTCGTTGGGTGGAACACTTTCAAGATCAGTTCAGCTGGCGTCCTGCTCCCAGACCTCTTCCTACTCAGGTGATGCAGGACGAGCCATGGGCGTTTAGTTTAGAGCCTCCGTCGGAGGCCGAGGTCCGAAACGCGACCACAGCCCTCAACCGTTTTCGTGCCGTTGGCCCGGATTACCTCCCACCTGCACTATTTTAGGATGGCAGTGAGGTCCTCTGTAAAGCACTGACCTCCCTATTCGAACGTATCTGTAAGGAAGTGTCCCGTCTAATTGGAGCGAATCGATTATAGTGGCAATATACAAGAAGGGCAGTCGCACAGACTGTTCTAACCACAGGGGTATTAGCCTAACGCCAGTTGTGACAAACTTACTGGCCTCGATTCTCGTTCGTCGCCTCACTATCAAATGGGAATCTCGGATTAGGGAAGAACGGGCAGGTTTCCACCCAGGACTTGGCTGTATAGATCATATACTTTTTTGCGGTAGGTGCTAGAGCAGCGCTGTGCGTATCGCAGGCCGACAATATCTGTCATCCTCGATTTCAAGTGCGTTCCATTCAGTCGATCGATCGATTCTGTTCGAAATACTTGCGCGGAAAGGTGTTCCCACGAAATATGTGAACATCCTTCGTGCTCTATACTCGAACACTACAGGCCGCGTCAGGGTCTGCTGTGTCCTATCGCATAGCTTTCCGACCACGAGCGGCGTTCGTCAGGGTTCTCCGATTTCCAGTTTCTTGTTCAATTTCGTCGTGGATTCTATCATGAAGTGTTCCCTTGTGGAATCTCACGATGTAGGCGTTGAAGTGCTGCCTGGTGAAAGATTAGTTGATCTAGATTATGCGGACGATATCGTCTTGCTTTTCGACGATATTGGAGCGGCCCAATCAACCCTGAATAGCCTGTCCAGAGTGATCCCATTATTTGGTATGCACTTCGCACCTTTAAAGTGCAAAGTGTTGCTGCAGGATCACCAGCGACTTTGTGACCCTTTGACCCTTGCTAACGAGGAACTCAAAGTAGTTGATCAATTCACGTGTCTTGGCAGCTTCATCAGCAATGATGGGTGCATAGAAACTAACGTCAGCTCTCGTATTGCAAAAGCCAGAGCTGCCTTCTTGAACCTGCGGCATCTTTGGCGACAGAAAAGTGTTTCCCTCCGTCTTAAAGACCGTGTATACAAAACCACAGTGGGGGCCATTCTGCTCTGTGATAGTGAGGCTTGACCGCTTCGGTCTGAAGATCTGAGGCGCCTTCAAGTCTTTGATCATCGTTGTCTGCGAAGCATTGCTGGTGTCGGATGGCATCAACGTGTCCGCAAAGATGATGTGCGTTGACGAGTAGTAGATAGTGATGGCCATGCTTGCTCCCTAGAACAACATATAGCACTGAGTAAGTTACGTTAGCTCGGGCACGTGCTACGTATGCCTGGTCACCGCTTACCTAGGAGGGCCTTGTTCAGTCTGCCAGGTGTAGGGTGGCGCAGAGCTCGAGATGGATAGAAGTTGATTTGGCAACGGGAAATGATGTTACTGACGACCAAACTGGGTGCCGTTGGTCCGTCTCGCCTTCCGGACTGGAGTCCACGTGACTCACCTTGTGCTTGGCTTGAGACTTTACAGGACGTGGCTCGCAACCGACACCAGTGGCGCGTTTGCTGCCGTCTCGTAATCGGATTGCCTGTTTAAAGTGTGTTTGATGCTGCGTTATCTGCGTGGTAATGGCTGATTATGACGCGGTGCAGTGTAAACCGCAAGGAAGCTGTCTCGCCCATGCCGCCTTATCTTTGCACGATAGCCAGCTGTTTGTGATGGCATGTTGTTTACACAAGCTGTAGGCGCATTGACCCAGAATGTTGGCGTAGGGCGTTAAGGTTTTCAGGTAAGTCCCCCTTCTCTCCCTCTTCTTATTCTCTATTTCATAGGTCCTCATGGTTGTGTGACAGCGAAGCATCAGTTCAAATGGCTGATGTACTGTGGTTGTTGTTGTTGTTGTTGTTGTTGTTGTTGTTGTTGTTGTTGTTGTTGGTGGTGGTGGTGGTGGTGGTGGTGGTGGTGGTGGTGGTGGTGGTGGTGGTGAGTGTTTTACTTATGACTTAAAGGACATTGACACTTAGCGGCAAGAGATTTCCTAGGGATATCTTGTCGATGCTTACGTCTGGAAAGTAATTGTGTGTGGATACTCGATTTCCTGAGTACATTGCGAACTAGTAACTAACACCAATGTTTAAACTGGTCTGCTGTGAGCGAGTGTATTCTAAATTTCCCACACACGATTTAGAATGCCTGCATAATTGGTGTACTCGTCACTATCACGTTTAGCCAACTTGAGACGTTTGTATCAAAGGTTGAAGGTTGAACATTATTAACGAAAAAGTGTACCTTTTCACCATGTGTCTCAGGTCAAGGTCTTTAGGTATAGAACGGTATCCGCAGTACGCCGGTACGTAGTATCGACGCCTTGCTGCCGCGCAGCCACCACCAGTCGCACTAGGGCTAAGGATACTGCGAGGATCCCCCGGTCTCCTACGCGGGCTCGAACCCGCATTCTCTGCTTGCAAGGCAGGTTTATAATCCGTAAGGCTACGGGCCAGTAAGATCTCTAGATGACTTCGAGGGAAGGAGATTGGTGAAATAGTCGTGATCTAGGGTTCTTAACTTCGGATCAACAGACTGGGTTTACACGGGTCATTTGTAATTTAAAACTCACTCTCTAATATGTCCGTCTATTTTTGCTACAGGTCGGAAGTGAGACCGCATATATGTTCGTAGTGAACCTCCAAAATAGATGACGCAATGGCATCCTCAGTGGATACGAAGCGGTTGCTCATTGATGGAGCTGTTGGTTGAAGAGCAATGGACGAAACAAAAGTTCGAATTTGTCGCAATTGTGGTCACAACGTTTTGCTCACTGCGAGCAACTGACTTCATGTGCGACTTGATTGCATGCAGTTTCGCTGTTCTGTTGTTTGGCTCTTGGTTCTACCCACGTTTTCGTTTCTTGTTAATACTGTGGGTCGCTTATCGTTTTGCTTGTTTTTTTTCACTCAGCCTTTTCAGTTTTGTCACTGTACGTGATAAAGTGTTCACTGCACGGAAATCGATCTGCTTTATTAGTATTTCAACTAGTAATCTTGCGTCTTAACTGCCATCTCAATTCGACGTTCCTGACAGACCCATTGTCTCATCGGCTTTGTTCCCGAGACCATAACGTTACCGCTCTTCTCAATACGATCTACACTTATTATTCGGGAAATTGCCACCAAACCAATTTCCCTTCCCACCGCCGTCCACTTTTACCTTCTATGGAAACGATCGGTTGTTTCCACACGCTAATCATATCAGCTGCGTTCGCCTATCTTTTTCGTATTATGCTTTCTTTAAATCAGTTCTGCGGTGCGTTACCTCCCCGGAATCTTTATTTGTGTGTGTCCGCTTTACCTTGGATTTTCCACTTAAGTCACTTCGTTAGCTACCATCCTCTTATCATTTGCTCGCACCAATTACTTCAGTATTCTCCTTTTTACACCAGATTCTAACGTTTATGGTTATGTCTCTTGGATATCTTCAAATAACTCGATAATGAAACGCAGGGCCAAGCAAAAGAGAGGCGTATCATCTTCAATTATCAATCATCCGGAGCAACCGATTACTGTGCTTAAACCTGTTGCTACGGAGAACCAAACACAGCTTTTTCCGCTTGAAGTTATTGATGTGACGCCTGTTTCTGTTGCTTCTTCACATGCAACACACGAAGGACGTATGTCTTATGTTTCGCCTCAGTTCAGTTTCTCAGATATCGAAGATACAACTGCCAAGTCACATACTGTCTGCTTTCCTCAAATTTATGATAACACCCTGCGGAGTGGATCATCTGGAGAACTTCGCAGCTTTGCACAACTTGACGACCAAAGCAGTGAATCAAGGGACCATGAGGAAGTTACTAATGTCGCCTCCAACAGTGATCACGATTTCTTGGTTGATGATGAAGGTCAGTGGTATTTTAGTATTATAATTTCTTACCTTTCCCTGGAGAGGCTAACCTCTGACAATTTTTCGTCTTTTCTACTTGCTTTTGAATATACGAATGATCATCTTTTTATCCAAATTGATATTCACGTGTGGTAAAATCTGTTCTCAGCCTCAGCCTTTGTCACCATAAGAAACAATTGGCACACTCCCTCTAATGCAGTAGGAGACCAAGGACATCAGCAGAACTCCGGTACGCAGTACCGACGCGTTGCTGCCCCGCAGCCACCACCAGTCGCATGGGGGCTAAGGATACCGCGAGGGTCACCCGGTCCCCTACGCAGACTCGAGCCCGAGCTCTCAGATTACAACGCAGGTTTCTGATCCCTAAGGCCACGGGCCGGAAGTAGGAGACCAAGTCCCTTTTCCGTTTTCTTCAAGTACCGTTGGGGTGCACCTGGGCTTGTTTCTGAGGTACATGCCAATCGTTCTGTTTCACCTTTCGGGCATACTAAAGTAATGGACAAAAATCCTTCGTTTACCTGATTATCGTCAAATTCGTCCTAACCTCCAACTTTTGGTTCTGTTCAAATCTCAGATGAACGGAACATCATTAACTGAGTGCTACTGAAGCTAGCGGCTTAGGATATAGCAACAAACGCTGTGGCACCGTACTCCATTGAGTTGGGAAATCAGCTCATCTGCTACGGGAATCTTGGGTCGACCTTATACTTTTGGCGGGTTGCCAACCAATCTACCTTTTTAGGGTTAAACTTGGTTTCGGCTCACTACGGTTAAGCAACTACATTCCAATTTCCGAAGTTCGACCCATCCAGTTACTGTGACGCGCGTCGAATCACAATAGTACTTAACACTAGTGGAGCATGTAGCAAACCACCAAGTAGCTTACAGATGATGGCAGTTACGGAAACGAATCATTATCATCATAATACACGTTATCTAGAGGTAGAAAACACCTCAGCTGTCGTGCTGCAATCCAAAAAAGAAGGAAAACACAAGACGCACGCTAGCTGAGCCACCAGTAACGAGTGGGCATCTCACTAGAGGGCTAGCAGCCGGCTGTTGTGCCTAGGAAATTAGCTCGTGCTTGGAGGGGGAGGGACTGAGAAACTCAACAGAAATGCCACTGCGGTCGGCTCCTAGCCATGTCAACAAGTGTATTCAGCTAAACGTGTTCATCGTCTTTCAGGCCCCAACCAGACAGCCAAAAGGCTTCAGCCGGGGCAACTTGGAACTGAGGGTCCTGATTCTTCTGGCTCAAGTTCTCGCTTGGCCACTCCTCCTCTTCCATCCACACCCGCGGCGCGCAAACCATGCACATCGGTGTGCTGGCATGCGCAACACCTGGTCCAGTCATCGAAGAAGGGGGTGCTTGATATACCGGCGCTGAGTGGTACAATTCTTCTTCCTGTGCCATAAACAAGGCGTCCAACACGCTCATTACGCACACAATGTTCCTCCAGATATGAGCCAAACTGCGAAGACGCCGGTGGTCGAACGTAACTGACTTTATATCTGCCGATCTAGTGGGCTAGGTAGGTTTTACAACTGTACAGTTGGGTCGAACGTACGACTGCATTGTACATTCTACCCTTCAAGGAGAGTGATGTCGCGCCGGCGCTACAGATGACGAAAGTTGGCGAAACTGCCCCGAGCTTCTGCTATACAGTTTGTGACCTCACACCCTCACATCGCGCCTTGTGAACGCGATCTCCTTGACTTCGTAAATAGAGAAGTTGAAGAGGAAAAGTGACAGCGAGCATTCTTGTCTTACACCGTTGAAGATATTGAAGCGCGGCGACAGCCCTCACTCTGCCTGAGCTACGCGTCTATAGCGCTCGGATAATGTTTGCGACTTCTGAGTAGATCATCCCAAAGAACACATCGATTCACCGAATCAAAGGCACCATCGTTGCTGAGATGCACATTGGACTGTCAATATATATGATGTTGCTCCAACAATTGACTCAATGCACAGATGTGATTGAAGCACCCCGACCTCGATGAAACCCGGCTTGATCTTCACGTATTTGTCTTTCACGAGTGCCAGTCATTCTGTTACGGGTGAAACAAGCGAGTAACTTGGAGACGATGGAGACCCGACTGATTCATCTATGGCTGCTGCATTCCGAAGCTGAGCTTCCCTTGGCGATCAGGACAATAATGGAGCGGCTCCACTCGGCTGGGATAGTTTCTTCCTACTACAGTTTCGCTACCAACTCAGGTAAATTGCCCACAAGAGCAGGTCCCCCGAATTTGAAGATGGATGGGGCTGGATGAAGATCACCTGGTCCTGCTGTCTTATTCCCCTTCAACAGTCCGGTCTTCCGGTAACGAATGGTTGATAAATCGGATTGCGACCCTAACTGCAGCTACGGGAAACGAACCGGACTTTGCCATCTATTTCGCGAGAGCGCCGTATCGGAATAGGCCAGTCCAGCTAATTGGAGTGCATCCATTATAGTGGCAATATGCAAGAAGAATAATCACACCTAATGTACTAACCACAAAGGAATTAGTGTAGCGCCAGTGGTCACAAAATTACTGGCTTCAGTTCTCGATCATCGCCTCACTTCGGAATGGGAACCCCGGATTAGGGAAGAGCAAACAGGACGTGGCTGTATAGACCATATATTCACTCTGCGGCAGGTGCTATAGCAGCGCCACACATACCGCAGACCGACAATAGCTGTGTTCCTCAATTTCGAGAGTGCGTTCGACTCAGTCGATCTATCAGTTCTTTCGAAATACTTTGGCGACGGAAACTCACGCACTAACTGCAGCGAAATTAAATGCAATCCTGCACCAACAGCAAACTCAGTTCGAGGCAGCCCAGATACGAATAATGGAAAGCTTGACGCGGCAATTCAGCATTAAATCATCAATTCCAGTCTCAGAAGAAAATGCAACCAAAACAATTGTATACGGGATCACCACTATGAACCTGGTGCTGGGCTGATTTTTGAATTGTGATTCAAGCGATATGAGGACATTTTCAATATCGTACTGAAGCATAAAGATGATACATGGCGAGTCAGGCTGTTGTTGAGGAAGCATGCTACAACTGAGCACACCCGATACACAAATCTTATC